TTTTTAATTGTGAGCCGCCCAGAGTCACCCATTGGGGGAGATGGGCAGCATACAAATTCATAAATAAATTTATTATGCACCTGCATTTGTGTTTTATTTGTATTTCTCTCTGATAGTGTGTACTAATTTGTCTTCCAGCTTTTGCAAGCCTCATTTGCCGTTCTCATCTTTATATCCATCTGAATTTCTGATGCAAAGAATTACTGAAGAGAACCAGATACCTATGCATCTTTCAGTCTCTCCATCTCTTCAATATATGGCTGGGCTAAAGGAAAAATCCATTATGGAATTTTTCCATAACAGCATTGCTGAGGTATTAGTACACAAGAGTAAGAGATTTCAGAAGAGAAGCTGTGCTAGTCTGTTTTAATGGCATTTGAAGATCAACAGATTACCCAGTGGCATCCTGAAGAACCACACATTTACTGAAGCATTAATGTTTGTAGAGGAATGGGTTCAAGATAGGTTTTCTCTTTTCATCCAGTTGTACAGAGTATGTTGGGGGGAAGGTACGGAATATAGTGTTCATATTGCTAATATTACCACCTTATAGTTGCAGTAGTTTTTTTTAATTGAACTGTAATAAAAGGCAGGCTAAGCCATAACCCCAAAAGTCAGTATTCAATAAATATATAATCTGAATTTTTAAGAAGAATAAGACACTGTCCTGATGTATGTAATAATGGTGATGATGGTGATAATGATGACAACAACAAATTGGGACATTGATGAGATACCAGCAATATCAAGGTGCTTCCCTCAATTGAAGTTGACACACAGATGATGAGGATGCTGAAGAATTGCTTCAAACATTTAACAAAACTCAGATTTTATACAGATACCTTTTGGCAGGGACAGAGGAGAGGGAAGAGGCAGAGTAATTGTAAAAAGTGAATCTTTCTTAGTCAGGTCATAGAAAATACATCAAAGCTATACTTAACTAAAAGATTAACTGCGTTGTCAATATTATAGGTTGAAAATGAAGAACTAAGACATCTCATGTGGTCATCTGTTCTGTTTTATAAAGCTCCGGATATGGAAGTGACAGCGTGTGTACTACTTTCAACTAAAGCTATTTACTTCTTGTTGGATGATTCTGTGACTCATTCTAATGATCACCATTTAGGTATGGTAGGACAGGCTGGTTCCTGGCTTTCAAAAAAGTTTGCAGATTTTTAATCAAAACGAGGCCTATTCAAAGATGCCATAATTTTAATCTCTTGCTTTGTACATATGATATTCCGTTATTGTTAAAGCTATCATTTGAGGAAGCCTAATGGTTGGTGGCATGTTTGAGAGTGACAGGTTTCCCTTATAACCTTAATGGATTTGTGAGGAGGAATTTTCAAGGAAGACTTCTCAAACAGGAACAGGGTTTATAATTCTGATTGTCCATTCAGACAATCTTTTAAAACTTTCCACAGTGTTTTACTCAGTCACCCAGAAAGACTAGAAATAAGTGCTGTTACAAGGCAGAATTATTTGGGTAAGGAGAAGACTTATATTAAGAATCTCAGTGCCCGTGTACCCCAACATGTTACCTACATGTTGCGGGTATGGAAACATTTACTAGAGTAATACATAGCTGCACCTTCAGTAATGGCTTATTTCAGATAAAGATGTCAGATGTGATGATGAACACTGATTCCCCTGATACCTGAAACTAATTACTTCTTTAAGACAATTAGGGATTGTATTTGACTACTGTACATTTATCATCCACTAGGTTTTTGGGGCACAGATCTCTTGGACTATGAATTCAGCTCTTTCCATCTCTCTCCTTGCTTAGTTCTAAAATTAAATGATCTGCATTCAGTGAACATTGGACTTTTTGATCAGTATTTTCGACTTACTGGTAAGTAAATATACATTGAAATTTCTTTCCTTTTTCACCTGCATTCTCTTATCAGCAAACTGCAGGTTAAAGGTGACTCCATGATTTATTCCTAGTGCAAGGCACAATGTATGGTGATAGTTCTTTGTGAACATTTGAAATAAAATATTGTTGGCAAAATTCTTGTCTCTGGGTTATAAAAGGAATGCCTCATCTGACGTCCTTCCCCCTAGCCCTAGTGTGTGGGAGATATGGGGTTCCCACACCCTATGTTACTTTCTGGCAAATTAAAAGGGGAAAAAAACGAGGAAAAAATAAAATGAATTCTATAGCATCACCTCCTGAATGTATAGCATTGAGGTGTGTGACAGCAGAATCAGCCCTCCCTTTATGAAATAGACCAATCTCAGAAGAGATAAATAAAACCAATCTTGTTAAAAAAGATATAAATGTAGATTATTCTTCATTCATTTTTGGTTTTAAATAGTCATGAGCAAATATTCTTTGGCAAAAGAGATAAAAATTGATATTAAAATTCAGTGTTTTAAAAGAACCTCCAATAGGAAAATATAAAGCTCAGGCAGACCACAAAATGATGCTAGTATTCTGCTATTTAGAGACAGTTCTATTATAAAGAAGTTGCAAGTTACAAAAACAAATAATTACTGATCTGGTATAGAGACAATAATACCAGGCACAAATTATTAAATTAATATGAATTAAATTATTAAACAATCTTCTTCAGTATAATCTTATATCCAAACTTGTTATTTATTTCTTAGGATGATCTGATGCCCGAAGCTAAAGTCCCCTGCTTGTTTTCTTGGACATTTTTCCAGCTTCCTGTAGATTACAACCTTTTATCAGAGGCTCAGGAACAGTTTCAGAGCCCTTGTACCCGACTTCTTGCTTCTCTCCTTCCTCCCTGCAGTTTCCAAAAGCCCTTCCTCTCAAAGGGAGAGTGATTTGGTGAAATCTTCATTTTGCTACATACTAAAGTAATCATCTCTCTTTCATAAAAGGGTAGATTTGGGAAGCCTGAGATGATGCATATTGGGAATGTCTGAATTCTGCCGAGGGAACCCCATTCACAATAGCATATGCTTCTAAGAAGTGCACCTAAACTATACAAACCAGACATTTCCAAAACAATGATTTCTAGAGCAGTGTGCACCAAACTGAATGAAGAAATGATAATTTGGAAATTGTTTTAATTATAATTGTTTCCACTTAAATTTTTTATTAAGTAGTATGTGAAATATAATTCTTATATAAAAGTTCCACAGTACGGCATCTGTTTAAAAGCTACCATAATTTTGTAATAGTATTAGAAAAAATCTTAGTTTTGTGTCCTTTTCAGGACATTCGGCGGAACATATATTGACTTGCCTAACCAGAGACAGTTATAGTACTCATGCCTTTATCCAGCACCTCATGGCAGTGCTCTCACTCCTCGCAAGGACACCATCACCAGAACCAGTTGACAAGGACTTCTACTCTGAATTTGGAGAGAAAAATACAGGTAAGATGATTTAGAAATATTTTAATAGGCTAAATTAATATATTTCATCATACCTTTCTAGGGTGATGTTAATTTAATTTGCTTTTCCTAGCAAATCACCATGTGTTAATGCAGGTTTTTGACCAGTAATGGAAATGTACAACAATGGTGATACATACAGTATATTTGTATCTTTTGCTAAAACTAAAGTAGGCAGGTTCAGTTGAAGTAAAAACATTTGTTTCCAATATACATTATAAGACCAGTCTAGAACATTCCGTCTTAAATGTGCAACATACAAGATGAAAATTGGGTTGCCAGGAAGGAAGGGGGAAGGGGAGGAAGGGAGGGAAGGAAGGCCAGCCAGCCTGCCATTGAAGACATACCACTTGTTCACTTTGTTAAGCTGCTGGATTGGTAGGTACTTGATGCTTGCTAACACAGGAAAAGCAGTTAATGTAAATTGGAGTCTCTCCTCTTCCCTAGAGATGGCATTTCTTATTCCACAGACTTCCTCGTGCTTCTTTACTGCTTTTCCCTAGGTACTATGAGTCTGACAAAGAAAAAATTACTGGATATTCTTCAGTAAAAATGGAAGGGCATAGGGTTGACATAAACTGGTTAGCAAAGCCAAAAAATCCTTGACACACCCACATACCAGTAGTGTGGCAAGAGTTTTCCATTTCCATGTAATTCATGTTTAATTTGTTCGTATGCATGCAAGCTTTGAGAACTTTGAAAGTTAAACTGATGTGCATAGACTTTGAAAATCCAATTTCAGTAAAATGGAATCTGTTCAGGCCTTGAAAATGTATTCATTGTTACCAACAGCAAACTCAGCTACTTGTTCTCATTGGATGCATCTGCCCACATGTCTTCATAAATAATCTACAATCAAAATTCAGCTATAAATCACATAGCTGAATGACTGAACCACTCACATTGATCTCAGTGTGGAAGTGCAACCTAAAACAATACATTCCTTGGACACTTTTCTTTTGTGTGATTTTAAAGTATTAATAGTTAAAAACAGTAGTCAGAATTTTATGTTACACCATTAGAGGGCATTCTATATGACATGCATATACCATGCATAGAATGATGAGTCATTGAGACACACTTGAGACTTAAATTGGTTTTAAGCAACATTTCTAGTTATCCTTTTCTTTAAAAGAATCAGAAGAAAATGTATTGATCTGCTTGGATCTGATCTAAATAGTTAAAATAGGGAAAGAAGATTGAGGTGAGTCATTTAGTTATTTAATAATGACACTCCTCTACTTATCTCCCTATGTTTTGAAAGAATTCTTCCTGCAGGTGCAAATGTAATAGGATGGCAGTATCTGGCCTAGCATTTTAACACAATATTGTTGGGTTTTGTCATTTCATGGTTGTTTGTGCAAAGATTGTATTTATTTATTTATTTATTTAGCTAGCTAGCTAGCTAGATAACTAAATAAATGGTTTTAGCCTAATCTGCCTGAATGACTATATTTCCTTAACTTGTGCATCATATAATTCTTCACAAAAGTAGACTAGCCATAAGAAAAAGATAAAACCTAATTGGAAAAGATACCATGTTGAGGGACCAGACACGGATGGAATTGTGCAGACAAAGGCATGTTTTAGCTTAAGTAAATTCCAAAAGTAAAGAAAGTAGTTGAGAAGTCTGGCCAACTAAAATGGTGATAGTAATCAGAAAATATGGCAGATTTCATAATTAATGCTTAGCTTGAATCAGTGTGATGTGGATATTACTGTGGAAACAGTATGACTTTGTTTCACATGCCTACTCAGCCACAAAGCTCTCTGTATAACTTTGGACCAATTGCTGTTTCTCAGTCATAACATATCTTACAATTTTGTGTTAGTTTATTAGAGCACATACAAACCACTTCAAACAAAATCACATCAAACAATCAGAAAGATCTCCCCACAGAATTTTAATACAGCTCATTCCAAAAGCTTAATCTTTCTTTCATGTAAGTTGATTTCTGGTTGAATTTATTGAGGGATTCATTGAAACATGTGATTTGTTTATTAGATTTATATCCTGTTTTCTTGTTCAGGAACGTACAGAGTACTCCCTCCTTTCCTTTTTCTGCATAACAGCAAACCTATGAAGTAGATTGGCTCAAAGAGAGTGAGCGGCTTAAAATCACATCAGTGAGCTTCGGTGAACTTGATGGTAGACTTGAACTTGGGCCTCTGTGGTACCTGTCCAACACAACCACCACACCATACATACAAGAGTGTTAAAAGTCTGAACAAATAGTATAATTGCTTTTCTCCAAAAACAGAACAAAGATTTGGACAGTCTTATCTGAGGAAATGTCATAATCACATGTGGCCACAGAAAAGCCTGCCATGTGTTCCCACTAACCTAACCTGTTTTGTCAGTGCGTATATCTCTGGGTGTCTGCCTATTCCGTCTTCATAAAAATAAAGGGGAAGAACTTACCACCCTAAGCACTTTGGAGAAAGGGCATGAATTCAATGTAAGCTTAAAAATGTAATTCATACTGGATTGCTTAGGTTGCTTCACATACATTAATTACAGTGGTACCTCAGGATAC